CCACCCTGTCTTTCACCATTCTCCACCTCCTACTTACCGATCGCCTTCATCGGTGATATTATCGATTAAGACATCGCGTAATACTGAAGCACATTTCACTTTAGTTTCTAATGCTTCAAGACCTAAATCATCGTTTTCAAGTCTTTTCCTCAGTTGATAATTATACTCCACTTGCCCTCTCATTCTATAAAAATCAATATAATATAAATGGGAGAGAATTTTTAAATTAATTTAATTTGCGTAATTTCACAATTAATTTTAATATCACTTAACCTTTGATAAATATCGGTCGATTTCGAGCAAAATGTTGCAAATTTGATTTTCTTAATTGTCTCTTCGATTGCTTTCAACTCGGTTTTCATAACCAACATACTTATGGTCTCGCGGACAAATGGTGATTTTATAGCAGCCTTATGGCTGCCTCCCTTGTGGCCTCCATCAACATTTCTAAGTGTTTGGAATAGACTACTTCGTTTGTTAGAAGATCGCAATTTTGTCACCAATTCCGTCATTGCTAGTGTTCTCTTACGTGCCATCTCTTGTTGTTTCTAAAATGCAAAAAAAATTAAATTTTATATATAAAGAAATTTATCCCATACAATTTTATTATTACAAGCACAACTTCACATCAGCATAAAGCCTTCGCAAGACGAAAGACTTTTCATAGAGGCATAGAAGGCAATGAATAGATCGAAGATGTTTCTTATTTTTATTCTTTTTCTAAACGATGTGATTTGTTTAGCACAACTACTATCGACCTAAGCTCCACTAACGCGCGTATCAATATATCGTCGCGGACATTGAACGTCTATAGAGATGGTTGTACATCGATTTTTGACCCAAGATGCATGCAAAATCCGTGCACAGGTTTACCGATAGGCTGCACGAAATACTTACCTTTCTTTCGCTTTAGAATCATCGATAATGTATCGCGACTTTACGACTTTAAATGGTCCTCGTCTTACACACAGAGAGAATCATTGGAGAGGATCTATGGCCTCAACACCGATATTTCGCCAATAGTAGCCCCCTGCTCTACGTACTCTGCTAGCATCCACTTTACATTCTAAAGATATCATCTCTTTAAGACAAGCGAATTGTAGCAAATATCAAAATGCATCCGTCATAGGTCCCGTACAAACAGAAAAAAAGGGGAAAAATAGAAACTTGTCCGTAAGCAACAAGCATGTATGCCAAGACTTCTTTTAGCGATAGCTTCTACAAAGCCCTTTTAAGCTACGTAAATTACATTGAGTGCCATACATCAGTCCCAGTAAGTTTTAAGTCAAGTAGATTTAAAAATATACAAAAATGGAAATAGGAAAATCCAAAGAAGCGTTTTCCCAAGTTTCACTTACTTCACTTTAAGTGGGAATAAATTATGAAAATTTAATACAGATTTGGAAAATGCTTGCAACAGTTCGGTTCAGATTTATGCCAAAAATTGTGAAACACAGATATCCCGCCAACGTGGCCAGTGTGGCTTATATGGCTCGGCAATTGAATCTAGTTGGCCTCTTGTCGGCCTCAGTTACGGCATAAGCGTTCCAAGACCGAAGAGCCAACGGGCACAATCCTCAGAGGTTAACTCGGCCGATCACGAAGAATATACTGTACATTGTGCGTGATGCTCTATTAAAAAGGAAGGCAAAACGCAAATAGTCAAACTGAAGAGTGTTCCTAAAATTAAAGGAATCGTTTCCATCTGGCGATAAGCATTTATTGAGAAGACAGTATAAATAGATGGAGAGAGAGAGAGGGTGAGGGGAAGAGAGAGGAGAGAGAGAAGAGAGGGAGGGAGAAAAGGAAAGAGAAAGATAGAGAGAGAGAGAGAGAGAGAGGAAGAGAGGAGGAATCTTAGAAGATAATTTAAGAAAATCCAAAAGCCTTCATGTTTACATCATTAAATGCTTTATAGCTTGACACATTGTAGAACCTAGTGCAAATTTGACTCAGCCTTCTCAATTGTTATGCGTATTCGAAGTATTAGTAGTGAAGAAGTATTTAAAGAAAAATTTTTTTTTTTTTTTTTTTTTCTGTCTTTATAAAGCTTACCCGGAAATCCTCGCTCAATTCTGAGAATCTTGCTATAGCCGGTGAGCCCAAGTGTAGGATATGCTTAATGAAATGCTCCTGATCCAAAATATCCTTATCGAGAGAGTTAAGTATTGGCTCATAGAAGATTTCATCGTAACGCAAAATGGCAATTATCTTCTGATAGCTGCCATTAATCGTTTTAATAGCCGCCAATCTTGTTTGTGAATTCACAAGTAGCTTCTTTTTCTCATAAGATTTAAATTGTTCATCCAGCACGTAGAGGTCATGATATCTATTTCGATTTTCAATATCGGACTTTGCCCTCTTTAAAAATGGAATAAGAGAGAAAAGGAAAACACTTTAAACAATCATTCAATTATTGTTTAAAAGAAATAAAACGTCTTTGCCAAACCAACCAAAGCCTTCTCATAGTCGGCCTTTAAATTTTCTAAACGGGCTGTCAAGCGATCACGTTCTTTACGCAAAGTGAATGTACGCTGATTAATATTATCAACAATTTGATTCAAAGACATCGTCTGATATAAACGTTGCATTCCCTTATTTCCTGTCAATAAGTTACGTACTTCCAAGGAATCATCCTCAGATATCATCTTAACCCATTTCCTACGGCCGTTGCGAATTTGCCGCTTCAAGACACGATAATGATGAAAAAGTCTCTTACGTTGTGATACCTTCTCTAAATTCGAAAATTGTAAACGTTTTCCTATAAACATCGAAAACATTGAAAATATCGAAAAATGTACTTTTGCTTGCGAAAACGCGATAACAGTAAACTAGTTATACTTAATAAATCGGTCATCTTTAAGAATTCGTCAGTTATTGAACCAGGCGTCCAAAAGCCATCAGCCGTCATCATATGCTGCTTAACATATTCAATGCCAAAAAGTCCATGAGTGTTCACGTTCGTGGGATGTACTGGCTTTACAACGCTCTGATAAAATTCCACTCCTTTTCCCATTTTCTTATGACAGTTGTGTGACAATTATGGCTACAACAACTTCCGATACTTTGCCAATCAATCCGAAAATTAATCTCCAAACTTGAAAACGTTTTCTAAAAAAAAAAAAAAAAAGGAAAACGGGACTGCTTTTGCACATGTAAAAAAAAAAATATCGGAAAAGAAAAATTTTTTTTATAAAATTTATCCGCAAAATTCTTCTTTTTCTTTCACAATTCAAAATATATATAAAAATTGAAAAAAAAAAAAGTTTTCGAAAAATATTCAAACTTTTTTTTTTTGTTGTTTTCTACTTCAAAAAACACTTTACATCATGCGGTTTTCACCAACGCTTGCAATTGCTCGATTCGGGTGGACCTCTTAGTTATTACGTTGGTCGTGGACTTTAACTCGCGTTAAATTGTTTTTCGCCGATTCAAATATAAAAACAAAAAAAAATTATAAACAAACAAACAAACAAACAAATAAACAAAACAAAAATTATTTAAAATTTTCCGATACTATCAGAACGACATTAAAATTGAAATTGAAAATGAATGGAAATAAAAAGAACTTTTTTAAAATCTGACTAAACTTTGATTTCTCCAAATTTCTATGTAAAACAAGTAACTAAACTATACATTTATCTTAGGGCCAAGGACCAAAAAGTATATAATGTATTTTGCTAAAATAAAAGCATTTCACCTAATCGATCGGATGAAATCAAATTTTTATATTGTAGTCATCTTTTAAATGGCTTTGGCCAATATTTGCATAAACTTTTAAAAACAACATCTGTCACGAGAGCTGAAAATTCGAATACTTTGCTCTTCATGAACTATTGACGATCAATTGTGCGGAAGACAAGCCAGACAAGCTAGGCAAGCACTGGCATGGATCGACGAGTTGGTTAGGATCGCGACTACCAACTCAGTGGATACGGATTTAAAGCTGAAATGCCATAAAGTTTACTTTGCTTAGTCGCTAAAGACAATAACACGCAATCCGTAGAATGCTTCCCTTCTTCCTTTCCGATCACTCTTTTCTGACCGTTATCTAATGTACGTGCAGGATCATTTTGGCAGGCCGGAGCTAACTTCCAGCCATAAGCTTCCAGATAGGCATACGAACATGCGCAGGGAACTTACAGGGAGAGAGAGACTACAGTTAGGTTTTTCAAACAATCGTAAAGGCATCTGACCCGTCTACAAGGCACAAGATTAAAATGTTCAAAGTCATTCTTACATAAAACACAGGCCAGAGTGAAGAGAGAGCGGCATCTGTTTTTTAAGAGCTAACAAACGCCAGCCTCCGTTTTGCGATTTTCTAATTTTTTACTCGAACAGTGCTAACTTTGCGTTACAGTGGGCCAGTATTTGAACAAAGGATTCTTCCATAAAATTTTTCAATACCTCTAAGCCGCCTCCCGGCTTTAGTTTGTCGATATTTGCGCTCAGGCAAGCTTACTTTTCTGTAGCCTTAAAAAAAAGTGTTTTGCCCAACGACACTAGGGCATGCGTAATACGTAGAACTACTTACAACGGATCAACGTGTTATTGAACCGATCAATTCAAAATCATTTTTTGTATTTTGTGAAATATTCACCTAACGGTTCAATCCAATTCTTATGTGCTTCGCTTCCAAGACCAATTACATATTTCTGTCCCCGTTCTGATACTAGCCTATAAATGTGGCTTCTTTGTACACCGCAGAAAGGTTCCGTACCTGTCACGGTCCCCCGGCCCCTCTTGCTAGCTTGACAACGAGCACTTTTATTGCCTTCAGCACCCGAACGCACCCGAATGGCAGTGTACCCATATTGATAGCATGTCTTATACTTCACCGGCTCATTCAAACTTTGTAGGGTCTCTAGCGCGAACCTAGATCTTACTGTTTATGCCTTCAGAGCTCTTAATTTGGCTTGACTATCGGGGTGAGCGCAGATCAGCTCTAACCTGTGTTCGCTTCTTGGACTTTCGGAAGCACATGCAGAGATTGCATAAACTCAGCCGTGAAATATAAAGGCAGTGTATTCCAGTGGTATGATATGCTCACCCCAAACCGATGAGATAGTGTCAGCCGTAATATAAATGAAATAAATGAAGGGCTGACATATACTTTGCCAATACTATTTATTTATTTATTTATTTATTTATTTATTCCACTTATACAAGAAACTCAACTAAAACAAAATGGCAGTCGAGTTCAATTGACTCTTAAGTAAATCTTAAAATTATTTAATAATAAAACTTAGTATAAGTACAATAAAACAAATAAGGAGGAAAAAAAAAAAGAAAGAAAAAAAAAAAAAAGCATGTACACAATTAGTATAGAGCCACGCCCACAACCGATACAGGACCAAATTGCAAGTGAACCCCTAAGCCATCGCAAACATGCATAAGCTTGGCAACCGATAATTGTTAACAACAAATTAATTTTCGACTCATAATGACAAAATCTAAGGTTAAATCAGTTTAAGTACGACGTAGGTAAATCGCGCTTGTTGAGCAATATTGCTTTAATAGACTTTAAAGAGTCCGTTAATGAGAATAGATGATAGACATCATTTAGGTTCTTGCAAACAACTCTGAGCGGGTTAAACAGTTCAAAGTTATATTTGCATTGACTAAGCTTTATCAACATAAAGTACCTAGAGAAGCGGTTAGGGACATTAAAGCAAATCTCACGAAGTAATGCGGGCGAATCAATTGCACCATTTATTAATTTGATTAGGAAGGAAACCCCAAGAACAAATCTACGTTTCTCGAGTGACGGTAAGGATAACAGAAGCAACCTATCTTCATAGGGTGGAAGAGGGGAAATCGGGTCCCAACCCAAATTCCTAAGTGCAAACAGCAAGAATTGCTTTTGTATAGATTCAATTGAACCAACGTAGCATCTATATGAAGGAGACCACACAACAGAGGCATACTCAAGAATAGGTCTAACCAAACACGTGTAAAGCCTTTTAGTAATATAAGGATCATCAAGCTCTTTGGACCACCTCTTTATAAAACCAAGAGCGGACCACGCTTTGCTTAACGAGGACTCAATATGCAAATTGAAACGTAACCTATAATCGAATAGAACGCCTAAATCAATGAACGAATCGACGTCTTCCAACCTGTGCGAATCAATGAAGTATTGGGTACTAAACGACTTCCTTCTTAAAAAAGAAAGCTTCTTACATTTATTTAGATTTAGCTTCAGAAGAAGCTAAATTTTACTTATTGCGAATTCTATTACATCGCTAAGGTTCCAAGAATGTTATGACAAATGATCGATATTTTATATCGCAAAATTTGTTCATGCGAAAGTGAGAGATAGACTCGCAAACATGTGTGATAAAGAATTGCAGGTACACTCACTTTCGCATTCTGTTCTCTTCATCAAGAGCTTATAGTTTACTATGCAGTCTTCGTATAAGTGAATGCATTCTTATCCTTTGATAGCTGATGGAAAATAATTTTTAAATCAAATGCTTTTCTTTTTTATACAAATTAAAAGCGTATTTATTGTGATTTAACATTTATAACATTTTTTGTTAAATTCTATTTTTTTAATTTTTTTAAATTGTAATTTTTTTCAATTTTAATTTTTTTTTATTTTAATTTTTATAGCTTTTGATATGAATTTATTTTAATTTCTTTTTTATTTTAAAATTTTTTTCTCTTATGGTTTATAATTTTTTTGTTCTCTTTATTTAATTTCCTCCTTTATTTTTTTATAAAAATTTTTTATGGGTTTACTTTTTTTCACTTGTTCATCATTCATTCTCAAATCGTCCAATAATAATGCAACAAATTCTTTTTGTATCATTTCACTTCCGACACGTTTGGGTAACATGTTCGCGACTTCTTTGCGAAGAAAGTGTAAAGTGAAGAAGAAAATCTCTACAATTATTGAAGCATACGTTCAAGATATTATTCATTATCCTCAATACTCCAACATTTGTACACATTTTGTTGCTTCCCTTTGTTTTTCGGTTTTAGTGTCCGGCTACTAGCCTTCTTTGTTCCTCAATAATTGCTGCACTGCGTTGTTTAATTCTTGCACGATTTGGTACACCAGCCCATATTTTAGTTGTGCTTGCCTCCTCGTCAATATCATCACTTATTCTTGAATGTTGATATAAATGATCTAAATTACTATCTTCGTCATCACAACGTTTGTATGACTTTCGAAGTTGTTGATTATAAATGTGACGATGCCTTTCCATCAAGTTCTCGGTCTGCGTCTTTATAGTAAAAGCTTGTAATAATTTTTTGAGTTTCTCTTGAACCACTTTCATGAGTTTTTCAACTGTAAATGAACGACAAAACAATTTGAACAGAGATTAAAACATGAAAAAATTCAGTTTAGAAGATTTTTCGATTTACGATTTTCTTCGAAAGGTAAAGGTGGATATGCACGTCCTGGCGTGCTCTCAAATTTTAGCAGCGGTAACTTTAGATCTGCATTCGGGTATCGCATAGCAGGTGTTCGAGAGCGATAATTCACAACACGTAGCATATCGTTTAAGCGATAAAGTGTAAACCTGTTAACGAAAATAAAAAGAAAGAAAAAATGCACAATAAAATGTAGGGTTAATCATAAACCAACTTTGCCCGGGTTAATGTTTGCGGCAAATTTCAATTTACTTCTTTCGTTTGACATGTTAATGTCCTATATCCTAGGTTAGGTAAACGCCAAAGAAATGATATAGTATGTAATTGCAATTAGGCAAGAAGCTATAAACCGATACAGCAATGTCCTCCATCCTAGGTTAGGTGAGCGCCGAGTGGTTGATATGATAACACCATACATTATATATCACGTAGGAGCTAATAAACTAATGTACTCTTATAACCTAAATTAGATAAGAATCAAGAAAAAAATTTGCTAATATCCTATTATATATCCTAAAGTAGGTAAACACCGAGAGATGGATATGGCTTATATTCGAGATTAAGCAACAGCTCTATAATATTCTGTTATCGTAGATTAGATAAGAATCCAGAGACAGGAACGTACCTATATCGTACCTATATCGTACCTATATCGTACAGTAGGCAAGAGGTTGTAAAGTCCTATAATCCAAGTTAGGTAAAAGCCCAGAAACGGATATACTACATAGCGATTGATTACATAAGAACTGAGAAAGGAGTGTCGCAATATTCTATATCCTAGGTTAGGGAAGAGTCAAGAAACTGATGTACAATTTAATATTGATTAGACAACAAAATAATAATGGATGTGGTAATGCCGCAAGTACTCGAGATTAACTAAAAGACTGGAGATGAATATGAAAATTTCAGTTTTCCTAGGCTAGCAAGGCAAACGTCCAACATGCTAGAGCCACATGAGAGATAGAGAGCTTGAGATATATGTATAGTAAAGCACTATATCCTAGAATAGCAGAAGGCGAAAAACAATGTCTTTGAGTAAAGAGGAACTGAATCACAAGTTCTTAATTTTTGTATAAAAAATTAAAAAGGATAAAAAAACCATTTCCCCTCACAATGAGATTTTTTTTAAATTTACCAACCTCCATAAAAAAGCCAAAGACCAATGAAAAACAAATTTATGGCTCATTTTTCAATCTTTATAAAAGACAAGGCGAACATCTCCTGGGTAATAATAAAAAAAAAATATATATATATATCTAGAATGAAGGAACATTTTGTCTGAATCTATTTAAACCTTCCCATAATTTTGAGAACGTAAGAATTCTTACCGTATAAGTACAATGTACGGAGAAATCTCTTTCATTTGTTGAACCAAATGGGCTTCATATTCATCCTCACGTTTTATGGCTGAACGTAATTTCTTTTCTATAAATTCATTTCTACATATAAAAGAGAAAAACAAAAATATGTATATCAAATGAGTCCACAATCGCTTAATGCACTATGCTAACTTTCGAGGCCATCCGTTGTAATTGTGACGAAGCAAATTTCTTACAATTTCGCTCTTCTGAGTTTTAATTTCCAACATCTCATTGGCTAACGCACCGAATTGTAACCAGCGCTGCAATTTAGCATTAGCTCCTGATTGTGTTCTTATTCTAAAGAGAATTTCATAAATTTAATTACAACAATTTACGTACATATGTACGAGATATTAATTACGTCCTATAGACTTCTGTCGATTGCGAGCTAAGCGTAACGGTTTCTAAATGTTTAATGACAGCTTCAACTTTGCTCAATTCCACTTCCAATGTTTGCATATCTTTTGATGAACGATTATAACGATTAATCAGCTCTGATGCACTCGCCACCTTATTCGCAGAAGGACGACCAGTTTTCTTAATTCCTGTATGCAAATGATCCATTATATCTTTGTAGAATCGTGTCAAAGTTCTCTGCGTTGCATCGCGTTTCCTCTACATTAAAAAAAAAAAAACCAAAGAAAAAAACAATAAACAAAGTAAAAGAAGAAAAATTTAATTCTTATTTCTTTTGTTAAGAACTTTGAACTTAAATGAAATAAATTTAGATAAAATGCGGTGGACAGAAGAAGTGAAAGCAATCACTGAATATCTTAGTCTGATTGGGTCTTAAAAAGCTTATAATCCCTGAACTTTCTTGTTTGCTTTAATCAATAATAATAAAATTCTCGAGTTCCATTAGGTTTACGAATGGATTATTGGTATGCTTTTCCTGAGCAGGTACATATATTAGAATTGCAATTTATTTTAGACTGGTTTTGATATTTTATAAAAAGATTGCACATGGACTACGTTAAACTTAGACGGTCTCTGCGGTTACGAAATTGTCGCTGCACTTTAATTGCCAAAAGTATCTTACGTTTACGCTATTGCTTGTGGAATAGCGCCTTGTTCTTAGGCAATCTACTAACGTAGAGAGTGAAAATATCTTCTCTCGGTAACACTGTCTCACAGGACCTTTCAACTTCAACTTTTCTAATAGATATAGTGTCATCAATATTAGCGTAGTCTGCTCGTTGCTTCCAGAATACTCCCCTAAAGCTACTCCTTACGCAATACGCTGATATTAATATTACTCCATTTGTTAGATAAAAATTGTTTTTCTTGTGAGCAAGTGTTAGGAGTAAAAATGTTTTCATTCTCTACTTAAGTGGGTTGTAAACAATCCATACGGACAAGAGAGTGTATGGTTGAATAAGTCTTGAGAAAAATTATCTGAAATTTTACTGCTCGAAATATAGAAAATAGTATATAGCAGTGACACTATCCGTAAGCCAGAGTCAGTTAAAGAATAAGTCTTGAAAACAATCTTCTGGCAGCTGGGATTATGTGAATGTCACTTATTGATAAAGTCTACGCGAATATGATTGGGAGAAGAGACTGAAAATAAGCTTAATGCCTTGCTGAAAATTTATAACATAAGCGAAACAGTTAACATCGACATAATTTTTAAAGGAAACTGAATAACTTTGTGAAGGTCTTATGGAAGAACGCGTGATAAATAAATTCATACATTTAAGGATTAATATAATTAAAAAATTGAATTTCTCTTACGGTATGGAAATTACTCAGTTTACGAAATTGCTCAAGAGCCGGATTTCCGACACCAATTATAAAATTAATGTAACCTTCTTGATCCTTGATATCGTTGATCAATGATCGAATAATTGGCTCATAGTAGTTGGCATCGTTTCTTAGTATTTTAATTATTTTCTTATAAGTTATGTTTATCGTCTGGGCCGCTTTTAATCTTATACGACTAGCTTGAATTTTATTACGGCATAATTTGGCTTTCTCGCCCTCCTCCAATGGGAAATTGTTGAAAAACACTATACGAGTCCTTATATAGTCCCTTTCAAGCTAAGTAAAAAAATGCAGAAAAGATCAATCGAAATGTTTCTGCTTTTTTGTTCAGATGTATTCATCCTTACCACTAAGGAGTGCAATTTCTGTTTCAATTCTCCGCAACGAAATTGTAAGCGATCATATTCTTTGCGCAAGACGAAACTTTGCTGATCTACTCTTTCGCTTATCTCAAGTAGAGACATGTCTTTGTATAGGCGGGCACTCGTCTTATCTTTGAAATTATTTGATCCTGTTTGTTTTTGATTTTTGCACGCACACAATAACAGACGACCATCGTGAACATTATTTCGTAATTTCTGTAGAACTTCTTTATACATTGCCGACTCGGCTTTCTTCTCCAAATTGCTAACACTTTGATAAGTCTCTAAATATTAAAGCGGAAATTATTCCTTATCACACTTTCTCTGACGCTACTTACTCATCATCCTTTTAAATTGTTCCATTTGATCCACTAAATGTTGAAAACACCAACTACCATCACTCATCATGTGTTGTTTCACAAAATTGAGACCAAGGAAGGCATGACTAACTATAGGCCTATAAGCATTCGTTAGTTTACTTAATGTTTGTTCACGGTGAGCGGAAAATTTCGAACTATATGCCGCCATTCTAATGCCGCTGTTTGTTGTCTTCACTCAATATTATTGTAATGAAATTTCAAAAATTCGCGTAACTTTTCACGAAAATATTGCGAAAAAAAAAAACAAAAAACGAGAAAGCTAATCTAAATTAATAAATATTCAGCAAAATATATTTGCGAAACAGCAAAAAAAAAAGAAAACGAAAAAAATTAAATACGAAATCCTTTTCAAAACGAACGCACAAACGAATCAGATCGAATGACATATAATTCTGAAAGAGTATTCATAATTTATTTTCTATAAATAATATATTCTTCTTCTTCTTCTTCTTCTTCTGCCGTGGATGAGCAAATCAACAACAGACGATGGGTAAAGTTGAGTGAAAAAAATTCACGAAAATTCCGTCTTCTTCGAAGATTCGCATTATTGTGTAAGCACGAAGTTCTCTGGTTGACATAAATGTACACTATACAGGCGTGCACGTAGAAGTTATACGCGTTATGACGTCCGTCACGTGACTCGAATCAATATTATATCTCGCGAGTTTCAAGTCAGTTATGTTGTCTTATTTTATATATCATCTTTGGAAGGAATTATTCTTCGAGAAGTCTTCTTCTTCTAATCCTGTGAAGAAGAAGACAAGAGTTTTATGAAAGAATTGAAAATTGCAAAAGTAAAAGAGGGCGTGCAGTAGTGGAAGTATATGTGTTGTTGGCAGATTTGTAAAAAAAAAGGAAGATAACGGTGTAAGCCGCTAAATTACGTGAAAGCAATATGTCAAAAACACCGTGATCACGATCATAAAGACTACACGTAGACAATTTGCGAAGGGATGGAAAGGCGAATAGAAGTGATAAAAGGTTACAAAACCTCGCTCTGTTAATTTTGAATAGGCGACCATTGCATTTCGGGTAATTAAAGATCAGCCTACTAACAAGGCAAATAATGTTTCGCCTGAGACTACAATTTGTAAACCAAGATATTATTATATTTGATGGCGGAAGTAAATAGTGACGATAAGTGACGATCATAAGTTGAATTATTTCAGTGTTTTTGGCAAAACAGACGGAGTACTTCTTGTCGACTGCCGTCAAATAAGGAGAAACCAGAGCAAGACTCTTGATATATAGTGGTCTGGAAGACGCAATATTATCTGCATTCCCGTGTGACTACGCGCCTAAAGAAAATGAAAACAAAATACCTCAGATTTGAAAGAGACAGATTTATTGGCTGACACAATAAGAAATTTTTTCTGCGATTGAGTATTCGCTAAGCGGATGGCTTCCAGGATCGCAACACAATCCAGCCGAAATTAAAGAGATTTGGAAACCCTAATCGCTGTCTACAGGGTTAGACCTCGATCCATCCAGTGAAAATCGGTGAAAAATGTTTCCTTTTGACGATACTTTGAAATTTTAAGATCTGTTATTATGTCTAAAAATGTACTTCAGATACTATGTATTACATTGCTGCTTGTAATTGAAACTTTTCTCTCATTTACGACCATTCAAAATTTTTTTTTCATTCTATAATTCACTTAACGCTAGATAGTCAACGTAATGCAAAATTATATGCAAACTTCGTTAACCAATTTTGTTGTTGATCACCCTATTAGAGAGGGTTGCGCAATGAACCAAAGACAACTTTAACAGGATAAAAAATTTGAAGAAACTTTACCTAATAATACACCATAATATAATCTGTTGCTGCGATATGCGGAAATCGTTTAATGAAACACTTAAAAATGCTATAGTTGGACAAAACCGACCCTTAGATATCTCAGTCCTCATATACAAATATATATACAAGATATACAAAATGTTAACTAACTAGTTTGCTAAATTTGGATCACGTCATGGGCATCTATTCATACTTAGTTTTCATATAAGGGCTTATCAAAATTAAACGAATAGAAAGTGGTCGGAAATGCGGTCCGATCCACATCATTTCCAGTAGGATTCGCCCATATGGCGTCCGTGTAGCAGTTTTTATCGATATATCGCGAAAATTGCGACCTGCAGGTTGAACACAAGAGTACATAGACAAACAGACAAACAAGCTTAGATCGATTCAGAAAATGACTCTAAATCGATCGATGTAATAAAATCTGGGTCTCTCTTAAGTCCTTCTGGGGATTACATATGTCCGCACAAACTTAAAACTCCACGTCCTTTGAAAGCATTTTTGGAATGAAAACGTTTTTCAGAAAGACGTTTAAAACAAGTGATAATTTAAAGGACGAAAATGAATGTGAAAGAGACAGACGCATCAAAATAATACTGCCAGGTCTTAATCACGATCAGCGCTTTTCTTCAAATGAAAATAGCCATAGTTCCACTCATTTAAAACGTGTTATATAATTAACTTGGCAATACTACTTGGAGGGAGATATCATGTTTGTATTGTGTCGCACCAGTTAGGTTCTCTCTTCTGAAAATTGTCAAAGGCTTAATCACGAAAATCTCAGATATTTGAATTTATACTTTTTAGAAAATCTTTTTTATATTTATTTTTTTTTTTTTTTAATTAAGACTTTTTTAATTTCAAATTTTTTCTTTTAATTTTTATGGCTTTGTCGAATTTTGTAATAATTTTTATTTTTTTTTTAATTTGTTTAAATTTTTTAAAATTTATAAATTTTTGAATTTTTAAAATATTTTGAAATTTTTATCGTCACAAATAATGTAGCGATCTCTTTTTCTTAAAAAACTTTTTTTCTTTTCTTTTAAATTTCTCTTCGACAAATTTTTCTCTTAAACTAATAAATACGCTTGAAAATGAATAAATAATTGATATGAAGAAAGAAAAACCGAATAAAAAAATAAGGAAGAAAATTTCTACAATTATTGCGGAGAGACTTAATGATTTCTTCCCACTCCAATATTTGCATTTATTTTGTTCCTTATCTTTAGTCTTCGTCTACTAAGGGCCTTTTTAGATTTTCTTCAAGAACTTTAGCGCTAATCTGTTTAATTCTTTGACGGTTTGGTACATTGGCCCAGCTTTTGCCTAAATCGCCTTCGTCCTCTGTTTCAACATCTTCACCTTTACCATGAGGCTCGAACATAATGAGATCATCATCCTCATCAACGTTACTTGTTGCCACAAGAGTTTTACGATAAATAACATTAAACTTTTCTATAGTCTTCTCATTCAATCTCAGTCCGATAAATCTTTTCATCAAAATGGCTAATTTTTTTTTAATAACAGCCATCAGTCTCTCAACTGCAAAAAAAATATAAAGTACAAACATATGTAAATACATGTAAAAATATGAAAAATTTACGATTTTCTTCGAAAGCCGCTGGAGGACGAAACATCAAAGATTGCTCAAATCTTAGTAATGGCAATTCCAAGTCCGCGTTCGGATAGTTCAATATTGGCCTTGGAATGGGTGCGTTTACAACACGCAACATATCAAATAAATGAAAAAGAGTAAACCTAAGGGTCAAAGCCAAAAAGAACAGATAAATATGCAAAACGCATGCACACATAGACACATTCATAATAATAAAATACTAGTTTCCAGAAAGACGAATAATTAAACATCTCTTTCTGTATTTTTCAAGCGAGTTTTTAAATCGAAGGCACATGCAGTCAAAATATCCTACGTATTAATATTTCATCTCTGGTTATCAATTTGGGTCCACGTTTTCATAATCATATACGAAAGTTATTCTTCCATAGTGGCGTGTAGCGCATAAACACAGACAAGCGCCGAATGCTCTACGAGGAATTGCAATTGTTTCGCACTATTTCCAATCACCCAAACCTAATCATTCGACTCGGTCAGGTGCACTTTTAAATGACTCAGCTAGTCCCCAACCACGGGTGCACGCTAGCTATTTAGGGTGTCTGTGATCTTATACAAGACGCCGACGATATGTTTTTTGCCCGTTTGAAATGTCAGCATGTAAGTCAGACATTACGGACGGAAATTCCGTATGGACTAGAAAGCGGTTGGTGTTTATTGCAGTTAATGCACGAAAGAACACAAAGTATTGAGGAGCATCAACGCAAGCCCATGTCATAGTGTCCGAACGGAAACCCCCTTCTGCGGAGATATATTTAAGAAGCCGCGGCATAGGTTTGAGGATGGAAGGATAAGTAGTTTTTGGGCGAGAGTAACTGTCGCATTTTTTAATGTATAGCTCGAAACGCATTCGTTTTCAGACTTGGTCAAGATCGTCTAAAATCTCTCTAATCTTACAAGATCACATAAAAGTGTTTGCAAAAAAAGAGATCAAAAGTGATCTGTCTACATACAAAGTACGCGCATACATTCCTGAAAGCCAGTCCGAGTTCCATCGATTGATTCTACTAATCTGGCACAGTTAGAGCAGAGCGAATGTAGCTCTTTCTCTCTCTCTCTCTCTCTCTCTCTCTCTCTCTCTCTCTCTCCCTCTCTCTTTTCCTCTCTCTCTCTCGGATCGATACATTACACATAGACTTTATAAGATCTCTTAACCTTATTAATGAATGCTACTATCCATACCAACACCTATCCTAAGAATGATGTAAGGACAAATCGTTTTTGCTTGAAATCATTGCATTCCGAATGATGTAAACAAGTCAAGTTACCCCTTATACCCACGCATATTTCAGATAAGAAGTAAATATTGTTACATTAAAAAATTACTTACCGTATCAGTACAAATAATTTTGAACGTTCTTTCATGTGCTTACTGATCCGGGCTCCGTACATATCTTGACCTTCTATGGCAGCTTTTAATAGCCATGCTTTGCGACCCATGCTTGATAAAAAATTGAATATTCACTTCAATAATTTCGTTCGTATTCGTATCCTTTCATAAAATAAATGTGAGGTGATAAACTTACTTCATCTGGGGAACATTGAAATTATGATAGATAATAACTCTTGCGGTTTCGTTAATTTCTTTCTTGATTATCATTGTTTTGTATCGCAAGTCATCCAATTGAATCTCTTTATGCATAAATCTATTAATTGGTTGTTGATTCTTTATCCTAAATGCATATGAAATATTATTAATAAATGTAAATGCAATAAACGGAGGAAAATGTTAATAGTCACGTTTTATAAATTTTTGTTGAGTTTGAAGTCAGCGTAGCTGTTTTTAAGTCTCTAATCATGTTGGTAACTATCTCCAAGTGTTTTTCCATCGCGCGCATACTTTGCGAAGAACGTTCGTAACGTTCCCTAATATTAAATACATCCAAATTCTTAGTAGCATTTGCTTCCAAAAATCCACTACTTCCTCTTCGTAGTTTTATCGTATTCCTCTGTAAGCTCTCATTGAATTTTCGCAACGTTTTCTGAACTTTATCGCGTCGTTTCTGTAAGTGGGGGGCGGGGAAAGCAAAAAAAAAAAAAAATGGCAAAACAGAAGTAGAGAAATCAAATCTATTACTTACTACGTAGTTAAGGCTTAAGACACGGAACAGTGCAAAAGCCGGTTTACCAACATCGAGTATATAATTAACATAATTATCTTGATCTTTAATATCATCTACCAATGACCGAATTATTACGTCGTAGTAGGTTGCATCTTTCAAAAGCACTTCAATTATTTTCTTATAAGTCGAATTTATTGTTTGCGCCGCTTTCAATCTGATCGCAGAAGCTGCAAGTTTCTTCTTAAATGCTGCCTTCTTTTTCCCCTCTTCAATTTCATAATATGTTTGAAACAATGTGTGATTTTCTAATGTAGCTTTTTCATACTGCAATTATTTAATTCGGAAAGGCGAAAGAAAATAAAATTGTTTTTTTTTTGATTTTTTGTACCCTATACCGCTTATGGTACAGCACTGTAATACGTTTTGTGTGAATGAATGCAACACTTAGAAGGATGTGATACGGACTCACCCACAGGTTTAATCGATCACAACCCGTATCGATTTAACCTTGTCTGTCCGTATGTCCATCTTGTTTTCTTGTTCAGTTTCCATATATAACGGCTTATTTGGATAAGTCGTTATATGAACGACTGTAGCATAATGTAAGGTATTTAATAGTTGCTTACTTTGGTCCATTCTATAACGTTCTTACTTGTTCTAATTAAATTTTCTTACCAGTAACGTATGTAATTTTTCTTCTAACTTTTCTTTCCGAAACATTAAACGATCATGTTCTTTCCGCATGACAAAAGTCTGGTGATCAATTGATTCACTGATCTCATGCAGTGGTAGTTTTTGATAAAGACGAGTTTTTGCTTTATCACCTTCTAAATACTGCATTACTTGTTTATTAGTATGATATCTATGAAGATTTAACAAGAGGCGACCATTGTGCACTTGAGTCCGCAACTTTCTGATTACTTTATCTACCCGAAATGTTACGGCTCTCTTCTGTATCTGTTTAATTGTTTCATGGGTTTCTAGGCAGCAAAAAAAAAGAAAGAAAAATGCGATTATTTTTCTAATTTTTTTTCTTTCTTGTTCTGTCAATCCTTTTCCGCAAACTTACTCATCACTCTTTTTACATCATCGAATTGATCGATCAATTGCTGAATACTCCAATTATCGTCAATCATCATGTGTTGCGTTACATATTGCGCACCAAGAAGACCATGAGACATTGCAGGTCGTGATGTATAAGCTGGCCTCTGTGATACATCTACATGCAAATTTTTTCCCAGATTTCCAGTGCTCATTATTCCTTTACACTTTTATTTCGCCAAATTGTAAAACCGAAAATAAAACCAAAATTATCTCGAAACTTTTCCCAAAAACGAGATAAACAATAAGAAGGAAACGCGAAAATGCAAGTCAAATGCAAATTAATTAGCGAAATATTTCTAAAAACAAAAAAAAAAAAATGGAAATGAAAATGAAAAACAAAAAAGCAAACGAAATTCTTTTGAACCAAACGTAAGAATATGGAATCGAAAGAGGGAATAAAATTGAAAAGTCGACAAATATTCGAAAAAGAAAGTGCACTGTAGTTCTGAAGATGCCATATTTGTCGATTAACGGTTAACGGTAGCGACGAGTCGTGGTAGCAATTGAAATCTTACTAAAATATCGCCCACACATAACAGTAAGAGGACAGATTTCGATTTTCACATAAAAAGCGCGTAATAAAAATTAATAAATAGAACAAATGGTAATATCTGAAGGAGGCTTCGGAAAATTCTTTGTGGCTTCTTTTCTTTTGAAAGCTTGTGAGAAAAGACAAAAAAACAGAGTCAAGTCTTTATACCCTACACCATTCGCGGTAAAGAATATATTATATTAGCTTTGTTCGGGTATAGGTAACAAGCAGAAGGGCTTAAAGCAGACCCGACTTTGATTACATCAATCGCTTCGGAAACAAATTCTGAATCAAATCAATTCAGAAACTGAATCGATCTAGGGGGGACAGAGATCGACTGTCTGCCTGCCTGTCTATCCGTCTGATGTCTGTCCATGTAAATTTGCGTTCAAGCTACAGATCACAATTTTTGAGAAACTTTGATGAAATTTGGCACATTGACGGGCTTTGACCCATGGACGAGCGCTTTTAAAAATAGGTTTAAATCATTCCATTTCTTATTTGTTTTTATCTTCTATACTTCTTTAGTTCTCTTAAAACTTGTGTTTTAAATACCACCCAACTATCAGTTATCTTAGCAAAGGCGCGAACCAATCGTAAAGAGAATTCACCGCTCAGCAAACGCACACTATGAACTAACTTCGCGCCAGTTCTTTTCTCAATCGTTCATTAAGCAAGAAGCGCCCAGGACATATCATCTTTAATTTTTCGGAATATGACTAACACCATAAAGTAACTAACCAATAGAGTCTGAACAGAAACATGTACAAAACAATAAAAAAAAATGTTTTATTATGAAAAATTTCTTAAAAAAAAAAAACAATGAATCTCAACATTGTTGACATAACTGCCTAATGGATGTGTCACATCTTAATCTTCTTTCTTTGAAAGCTCTTCAACAATTCTAGCGCTTTGTGCTTTAATTTGTTTACGATTTGGTACAGTTTGAAGCAGTTTAGCATCTTCGAAGATCTCTTGTCCATCTTCAAGGTTGTTTTTATCGCGCATGGCTTCCTTCTCGTCTGTCACATTTTGTATTTCTAGGAATCCCTCGTGATAAGTTCTCCAGAACGCTCTCATTTGCGTTGGTGTCATTTGTATATTTTGACGGCCCAATAAATATTTATATGCACTCATTAAGATTGTTAACTTACGTTCTACCATTGATAACATTGCCTTAGCTTAAAGAAGAAATCGAATCGATGGTAATATGAACACGCTCCGCATCTTTATATAAACTTTATATTACTTACTATTCTGTTCAAATGCCGGGGGAGCTGAAGCACGCATTATTAGCATATCAAATTTTAATAACGGTAATTTTAAATATGTATTCGGATATTGTAACGGAACAATACGGGACGGCTTATCCACATATCTTAATATATCGAGGAGATTCCATAAAGTGTATCTGGCATTTAGTTAGTTAAGCATACATTTAAGAAATTTTCAAAAAAATATGCATAGAATTCTATTAGCCTTCACCTTAACACAACGAAAGTATCTGTCCGATGTTTCATATGCCTTATTATTGTCGCTTCTTTACGATCCTCAACTGTTATGGCTTCTTCTAGAAATCTAATCCGATTTATTCGACTAAGATTAAAGAGACAAAATGAAATAATTAGTTATTATTATGTATTCTATGAAATTTGGTTTATTCAATACAACTTACTCTTCTTCCTCCTCAAAGTAATTGTGTAGTAGAACACTTTCTTGTTCTTCGGCGACTTTATTTTTGAAGATTAAAAACTCATTCGATATGGTTCCGATTTCATTCCTTTTCATCAATTTTATGTTATGTTCCATTTGGACTTTTATTCTAATTTACATGGAGAGTATATAAAAAAATTCATTTGCTAAATATATATTGTACCACACTAAAAATTTAACCTCTTTTTATTTATCTGAGACTTGAAAAAATTTAAAATAATTCCTTTTTTTTTTTTTTTTTTTTTTTTTTGAAATATTCTGCATGCATTAGTCAGTTTACACACAATGCTGTTTAGAATATAAAATAAAGTTTAACAAGTATTTTACAATTTTTTCCATGTCAAGGTGCAAACAAGTCGATACCATTGCTATACGACATGCACAGGTCTCGGTACACGGTAACAAGTTTAATAAATGCAAATAAATGCTTTTTTTTGCATTTGTGAGAGAAAAAACTATATTGTATTATACCACGTGTACCATTATCGGTAAACGGCTACAACGATATTGTAAACAATACAACATCTCCTAAAATAGGGATAATAACTATTAATATATATGGATTTTTATAAATTAATTTAAAAGATGGGCCTAGGCATGCAAATGCATTTTAACGTGTACTAAAAACGATCCTTGTGGCAAGGAACGTGTCCAAGGATAATTTCAGTTTCAAGATATAAAAATTTCAAAATCAAAACTTGCCGCTTTAAAGCTCGAGAAAAGCTCAACCAAAGACGTTGAGTGAAGGTGATGGATTCCAACCCAACACAACTGATAAAGTGTTATGATCTCAGAATGTTTTTCATGATTTATGCGGTTTTGACTTCTTGATTACCACTGGTAATTGGAGAGGAAGATATAAGATATTTCAGGGGACGATGCGAAGAATTTTTTAACGAAAGATGAGTGGGAATGGTCAGAAACGTCGAGAACCTAGATACTGATCGTATCAAAAATTAGAGTCACCACTATTCTAAACATGACAACATTGAAGTATTTCTTTTCTTGTTGTCATTCTAACATTGCGTCTCACGCATTCACACACGAATTGATATAAAAGGGTCCTTTGGAAAACGAATATTCTGCTCGTTAAAGAATTAAAATCCAAACTCCAGCATAGCAATCGAAGAAGCTGTTCCTCAGTATACAAAAAAAAAAAATGAATAAATAAATAAAGCAAAGAGAGAGCAGACCTTAGATTTTAGAAAGCTAAGAAGAAATTAAAGCAGTCTCAATGCAACCGAACTGCTTTTTTTTTAAAGTTCTTAAACGTCTTCTAAGCGCCACGCTTGCACTATCCGCCCAACTAGTGATAACTGATGCACGATCAAACTTCTCGAACGCATTACTAATGTCAGGGCAGTGAAATGATCTAGAACTCGATTATATTTCGCAAAAGATACCTACGAATATTGAAAGACACCCACGCAAAAACTTGATATCTTAAAAAATGTAATTAAGATAAAGGGATTTCCTTTCAAAAACGAGGATAACTTAAGGAATCGTTAATATGGAAAAATTGTGTCTTTTTATTTGCATACCTCGGAAATATTTCAGTTGCCCTTGAACATAAGGTCGCTACTTTGATTTTCTTAATTATTATTTCAATTTCTTCCAATTGCTCTTTCAATTTTAGCATGCTTTTCGTCTCTCTAGTATAACGCTTCGAGATATTAACGACCACATTTTCTTTCGGCAGCTTTGCAAGATTGGAGAAACGTTTTAAACTTGTTCGTTTAAAACCCATTATAACTGATAGTTTAAATTGAGTTGATTTGCGCGATTTTTCATCCATTTGCTAAGAAATTCGTATATCGAAAAGGATATTATATAGAAAAATTTTCCCTCTTTCATATATTCAACTTGGTGTATCACTTACTCGAAACTCTTCACTTAATTGATTAAATTTCGCTATTGCGGGCATTCCTAAGTAAAGAATATGTTTAATGAAGGACGCCTGATCATCAATGTCGCGGGACAAAGAACGTAGTATCGGTTCATAGAAAATCTCGTCATGCCGTAAAATCTGAATAATTTTCTTATATGTTGAATTAATCGTACGTATGGCAGTCAGGCGGACATCTGAATTTTCGATTTTTTTCGTAAATTCACGCATACGAAATTCCTCCTCCAATATGAATTCGTTTTGATATTTAATGCGATTCTCAATTGTTGCCCGCTCCAATAGATCTCGTTTGTATTCATCTTTTAAGCGAGCCAAACGATGATTTAAACGATCACGTTCCTTACGCATAACAAATGTCCGTTGATTAATATTATCGACGACTTGAAAAACGTTCATTTTCTGATATAAACGTTGCATGTCCTTATGATTGATTAATACATTTCTTATAGCAGCGATATTATCACCGTTCATAACATTCTGCAACAGACTGCGACCATCCCGACATTGTATACGCAAACGACGGGCCGACTTTTTCAATGTCTTGCGATAAGCATTAGTCTCTAGATTCTTAAATATTAACCGCTTTGCTAAACAAATATTCAAAGATAAAAAAACAAAAAAAAAGCAAAAAAAAAACCATGATATAACAAAATATTCACTTTTATTTCGTTTACCCACTCAATAGATTGGCCATATCGTGAAATTCCTCAATAAGAGCATTAGCCGCCCATCGATCATCGACCATCATATGCTGTCGTACATACGATATGCCCAGCAATCCATGATTACGCATTGGCGTTGGATGTACGGGCTTAGGTGCTAGTACCGGAGTCGCCATTTTGATTTATTAATTAGGTAATCTCTTTAAGGCAATTATTCCCGCTCTCAAAAGAAAAAAAAAAACCACAAATCTCGACTTCCAAATATTTTCGCTTCACTTGCAAAAAAAAAAATTAGAAAAAAACCGCGTAAAATATAAAACAATAAAAATTATTATGTATTTAAAAAAAAAAAAAAATCGCAGTTCAAAACGTTCCCTTATTAAATGAAGCTAAAAAAATAAATTGACTGGATGAAAAAGAAAAAAATAATAAAACATAAAACATGAGTGTGAATAGTGTTGAAAATTGTATGAGAAATTGTCAGTAGGATGAGGGGTATATTCATTTTATCAAAACGTTTGCAACGCCAGCAAGGAAGCTTCACGGATCCCGCAAAGTATATTTATTTATCTTGATCAGCATCAATTTCTAAATCGATTTACGCACGTCGGTCTGTCAGTCCGTATATTGTCTGTTGTAAACATTTCCCTGAGTTCGAATTCAGCAAAAACATTGAAAGTTCTTGCACGCAGATTGTCGAAGGACACGCCTACGGTACCACCTAAAATGAGAATATCTCTGTTTTTAAAAAAGAGATACAAAAATGCGTCTTTTTACTCATTACTCATTACCCAGAGCAGTTCTACAAAAATCTACAAAAAATTGAACATGCATTCTGTAGACGATGTTGCAGTACCTGAACAAAAATCGGAAAGTTTGACCACGCGCAGAGGCAACTTTTCCACTTTTATTCCGAGTTTATAATTAATGAAGAAAAAACGCATTTTTTTATTCCTTTTGAAAAACGCAGAGATGTTCTCAATTTGCCTGATACTGTAGGCGGTAGGTACTTCGACCACTTTGGCTCATTTTCAACACTGATCTATCAATGTTTTGGACGAATTTAAAGTCGATAGCTTCATTTTTCCAGGCGTACACTCGAACGGACGGACAGGCTTAAATCGTTTCGTAATTTGTTGCTCACCAAGAAAGCCCCATATACTTTGTGGGATCTCTGAAACGTTCTTCTCGGTTTCGAATGCTAATCATTAACCCTTCTCGAAATGCAATGCCTACAAATTATATACTTAAATTGTCGAGAATTATTGAGAAAATATTTGACAATCAGCCTATGAATTATATTTCAAATTGCAATAAATCCTTCCAAGCATTAAATCAACGAGTAATGACAGGTTTTTTTCAAATAAATGACTTCTTCTTTTTTTATTCATTGATAATTCAAGTCGTTACTATATGTCATTTCAAGAGCGTTCATTTTGTATCGTAATTTGACAATTAGTCGGACTCTCTCTTCGCAAATTCTTCAACTATTTTAGCACTTAGTTCTTTCATACTACGACGTGAATGGATTGCAGACATGACTTTTGTTTCATCGAAGGCCATTTCGTCACCTACGCCATCATCTTCCTGCAGCTCGGATGTTCGTTCCATAACCTGCGTCTCACAAGTCTTCATAAATTCATCTTGATAACGTAATAGAGCCGACGGCTTATGCTGATCAATTTCAAATTCCCTAAGCAGTCGCGAATACGTTTTCATTACCAATGCCAATTTTCTTTCAACAACTTCCATAACAATATGAACTAAACAATGGATGAATGAGTGGAAAGTAGAAAGATTAATAAAAAAGAAATGAAAATAATTAACAAAAGCCATTAAACATACTATTTTCTTCTAATAGCGGTGGAGGTGCGGCATGCATTAGTAGCATTTCATATTTCAAGAGTGGCAATTTCAAATGTTCGGATTGATAAATGCGTTTAAAATGGACGCAGTCCTTTCCCTTCACATGACGTAACAAATCATGGAAATTCCATAGAGCAAATCTAATAAAAGTGAAAGTGAGAAAGAGAAATGCCATCTGATCTCACTCTTATTTATCGATCACTTCAGCTCAACGCAAACCTATGATACTATGTAGCAACAAAACTAGAAAAGTCCTGATTTGTATCAAAAAATGTCTTATACTATTGGTCTTTTTATCGGGTATTTTCCCGCTTGATTTAATTGGACTTTTTTTTTGAACTTTGCACGATATCTATCATTTGGTCATGGAATACAAGATGTTTGTAAATCAACTACGATTCGATTTCCCCAAGTTAGGGCGCTTTGAGGCAAATTTGGGGTCGTCGTTACCACGACAGTCACTGAAGAAGACGAAGGGAAGAAACTTGAAACGCTCCAAGAGCTTACAAGCTAAGTTTTCGGACTAGGGATCGCTATGAATTTCTCTCCATTTCGGGAGACATTGATGAGGCGACTGCAACACACTATAAAATCAGAGCGAGGGGGAACCGTAGCACACACACATGATTGCATTTACAGGACCAACAGTAGACGGAATAGACGAATAGATACGTCTTAGCCGGTACGACTGACAAGTAAATTTGCGTTTCTCGGCAGTGAACACTCAAATTAAGAACTTGTTAACTCGTCATATATGGTCGATAGAGATAGAGATAACGTTTTGCCATTTACTTACCGAAATATTAACATCATGGCTGAACGATTTTTCATATAAGCTACCAAATCTTGATCGATTTTCGTTTGCTCTTCTACTTTCTCTTTAAGCCAAGCGATCTTTTCTGTATATCTATATAAAATCGTGTTGTTCTTAATGAAATCTTTTCTTTTTTTTTTTTTTCTTCTTACAGTCGCGTTATTTTCCAAAAGTTCTCCAAATTGGAACTCTTTTTGATTTGTGCACTGGCCGCTTTATAAGCTTTATTCTCGACCCGTAAAGTAGCTAAAGCGACAATTTTTTCTAAGGAAGCGTTACTCTCCTTTTGAAACTTGAAACTGTTTTTGAAAAAAACGAATAAATATAAAAGTCATAAGTCAACGAAATACGTCTGCCAGAATCACCCTTACGTTGGATAGATGAATTTTGGGCGAGAGCAGAGTGTTCGCTCTTGGAGTTTTGCTATACTTTTTTCATCATCTTCCAATTCATACTTTAAAGCCAGCATACTTTTTGTATAACGTTCGTAATGCTTGCCCCAATTAAAATATAATTCAGGTTTTTTCGCTTTGGGTGCGGTGGATGATCCTTTCTTTAATAGATTTTTATAACCACCTATAGATTGGATCTTCATTTGCAAAGCTTTACGTGCTTGCTTTTCTTTTATCTATAATTTGAGAAATATTATTAATTATCGGAAAAAGGTAAACGTTTAACGCTATAAGACGATAGCGACGTGCCGCACTCCCTTCTTAAAGGCAATATCAAGAGAAGTGAATAATTTTTCTATTAAGTTTGCAATGACTTCTTGCAACCAGAACTTTGCGACTTCTACAAGAGCCTATGACTTTCCTCGGCCGAGCTAAACTTTAAGAAATCATTGCCCGACCGAGTCATGTAGGGGTAAATAGTAAGAGCTATATAGAAAATTTCTTTACGAAGAATGCTGGATATGCTTTGGTTTTAACGCGGGAAAAATCACTTATCCAGGACGACATCGAATCAAGGAATGTAATAACCGAAAACGGAAGACAATAAGATATCTAATGTTCGCTGTAGTCTACACTTAGTATACAACAACACAATTCAGAATGACTTTGCACCGTCCTTTATATTAGGATTTACCTTTAAATCTGCCTCAAGTTTCGCGGAACGTTTAATAGCCGGTACACCAATGTAGACCGTGTATTCTATGAAACCATGTAGATTTTCAACATCTTTTTCCAAAGCTTGCAATATTGGTTCATAATAAATCTCATCGTGTTCTATAAGTTTAATCATCCTTTGATACGTGTAGTTAATATGCTTCAAGGCTCTAATGCGTCTCCTCGATTTCACTATTTGCGTTTGCATTCGATGTATGACAGCTTCTTCCGGTATATGAAATCGATCTTCATATATGATACGATTCTGTACAACAGATAGCCGAATCTACGCAACAACAAATAAACATCTTAATGCATCTAACAACAAAAGCAACAACAATACAACAAGGAAGCATAAACTTATGCGTATAGCTTATTATGTAATAACTACCAAAGCTTCTTCTAAATCCTTCTCCAATTGATTGCGACGAAACGTCAAACGATCCCTATCTTTACGCATTACAAACGACCTCTGATCCATATTTGCAACGATTTGCGGTAACGATAAATTCTTGAACAGTCGACTCAAATCTTTATGATGCAATAAACATTTATTTATTTCGATAGCATTTTCGCCGGTTAATGTTTGTTTCAGTTTTTTTCGGCCATCATTGTTTTGCGTACGCAGATTTGTACAATTTCTGAGCAGTTTCTTCCTTTTTGCCGTATTTTCACGCAATTGAAAACTTAAACGACGATGCATTAAATTAGTGACCCTTTGGCATTGTTCAATTAAACAATCGGCCGTCCAACGTTCATCGGACATCATATGATTGTGCATATGCGGCGAACTAAATAGCGCATGATTACCGTCAACGGTCAAATATACGGGTTTTGGCGCCGATTGGTCGGGTTTATTATGCAAAGGTTTTCTCATCATTGCCATGATTATTGCGACAATAAGTAAATAAATCTATAAAATATAAATTCTTTTAATTCAATTCTATCGTACAGTCTCTCTCTTTGTCGAAAGTTTCGAAGAAGAAAATGTTTTCTCCTTTTTGCTTGACACAATCGAAAAAAACGAAATAACGTTTTCCTCTGCTTCTTCTTCTTCTGCGTGTCAGCAAATCGGCACACTAGATGACTTACCGAGCTTAGGAAGAAAGTTTTAGTGTTAACACACATCTCCTTCTCAAATTGTTGTTCAAATTGTTGTCAGTTTTCAAAAACACACACATAAAAATGTCATTGGTCGTTGATTACATTCACGTACCAAAGAATATATTCATAAGCTTGGGGGAAAAACCAAAGCAGGGGATTAGCTGGGGACTAGCCCTACCACGTTCGCCAAAGGAGGTGCTCTCTCTCTCTACCTTGGACCTTAATAAAGTTGGCGTTCAGCTTAATTGTACTTACCTTTGCGTGTTATCACGTCTGCCACGTAAATATAGTCATTGTACGGGAAGGGGGCTTTCCCCAGGCCATTTTCACGATTTTTGATATTAATTTATTCTGGGATTTTATTATTTGCCAAATGGCTTCCAGATGATATAGCATAAAGAGAATTCCGTTGTGTGAAATGGAGTACATGCGTGTGTATGTCTTATGAAAGTGATTCATATTTTGCCTTTGTGAACATTTAGGTATTCTAATGACAGGCTTGAAAAGAAGAGACGACTGCGCTGTAAGTCGCCGAGTTGTCTGCGAACAAAATGTCAACAACCCAGCGACAGCGATCATCAAGACCACTTATAGACAATTTGCGAATCGTGGCATGGCGAATAGAATAGACGATATTCGGACAAGCAAATAGATGATGGTCAGAAGATAGGAATGAGGAGCTGTTCGCTATTGCATCTCGTATGATTAAACGTCAATCTATCACTAAGGCAAATAATGTCCCGTTAGACGATGCAATGGGTTACATTTATTTTTACTAGTATAAGTTTTTAGACTAATGCAAAGAAAGAATTGAGAAGTAGCAACGTGGTCTATTAGCCCCATTATAGAGAAAGACATTGAGCCCGGTAATTTTAATAAAGTAATATAGTGGAATTGCGTGTGCGTGTGTCTATGTGTATGTGATATTGCGTTCTGTGACCGATTTCAGGATGTCCTTCTAATAAAGAAAAAGTTTAAGCAGCTACAGAGAATTTTCTCTATCGTGAGGCTTTGTCCACAATTACAAATTAGAGAAGAAGACTTTTTTAAGATCCCTCAAAAAAAAGTGCTCAAGAGCAAGGCTAGACGATCTCAACTTAAGGCTAGCTAGATCCTTACCGCTCCATGATCGATGATCGTCTTTGTTAATGGCTGGTTTGCCGCGACAGCCAAGGTCGCTGGCTGGCGCACAATTTAGTAATAAGTCGGGGACATATTAGCGGTTTGTATTTTAACCAGGGTGAGTAAAGAATATTACCATGTCTAATTATATTTATATATTCTTATTATATAAGAATGAACATGTTTTTTAAATATTGTTGGTTATTTTTTTTTTTTTTGCATTAATCCCTCATTTCGAAACCCACCCATCAACCATTCCTATGCCATTCGGTTTCTTATTGATTCGGCAAGCGTCTCTAAAAACATACCATTTTCTCCTTTACATAGAGTAAGCGGCTAGGAGTATACAAGTGTTTCTTATTGCAAATGCAAAGGATCTTCATCTAAAGCGTGAAGATGGGGAAGTGTTGATAAGTGGATTAAGTACATGGTGTAAGCGTATATTCACAATTTTTTCTAACAGTAAGTCACGTGTTTATGTGTGCAGGAAATGTCATGCACTCTTCTCTGTATTGACGGTTGACTGAGTGGAATGCTTGCTTTTTTTTTTTTCTTCTTTATCTGTCAAAAGGAAAGAATTGAAGAGAAAAGTAAAATAAAGAAAAACTCAAAGTATTCTCCACGCTTTGAAGGTATGAATGTGGTGTGAAGTCGCGCTATGTATATCCAAAATAAGCGCATATGTGACTAACTAAAATTATATTCATATTATGCAAAGTGAAAATTTAGTTCCAAAATACGACAACTAAAAATTTATATTGGAATTCGGAATGAAAATCAATGTTGCTACTATTCATCGCTACTTGATAACAAGCCTGCACGTTTATTACGCACTGGACCATAAACTTTTAGAATTTTAATGAACTGAACACTCGTAACATAAAATATATGGCGACTAACGAAATGCTGTTTTAAGTTGAACTACAACGAGATTTAAGAGAAAAGTGCTTATAAAATTCCGGTATTCTCCATAGTGGACCAAGTCGCTAACAAAGTCAAGAAATTAGAATTAAAAAATTTTTTTTTCTGAAATTAATGTAAGAAAGTCCATTGGGGGATCGTCTTATTTCAAAATCGGGTAAAAGAACCCGTGTAAAAAAGAGTTGGGTGCATTTAAGACCGCTTCTCGGCTAACAGCATAATAAAATCTGCCCGAAAATCTCATGTGTTTCAATCTGGTACCTTAAGCTATTAACTGCAAAATGTGCAACAATGTGACAAAGAATTTGACCCATATCTGTGTACACTTATTAAAAGCTTCTAAATGTAAGGTTGCACCTCAAGGTAATAAGCCAACATTTGTAGTCCCAAAGCGGGCAACTAATTAGAAGAAAGCGACGAGTTACAAGATACTCACAATCGAATATGTAACGAGGAAGAAGATAATAGAGCTTTTAATACCACCATAAAGGTAGAGATCAAGGTAAACTAAAATTTCCAGAAAAACACTTACTGTTTCGCATTAGGTGTTTGCATTAATTTTGGCCATAAATTTGAGAAATGTTGTTGCAATATTTTCCATAATTTTCTACAACTCTTACCACTTAGTCTGGGAACATGGATATGGCGCGTCCAAATAGTTTATATTGATTTGATAGCGATTCAATGATCGATCCATTTTTGCACTTTTTCAACTTTGCGAAGCTGCGTGCCAGCCATGCCATGCTAAATCGATCTGAACACGTGTTACTCAGAAGGGCGCTATGTTTGATGAGTCGGATCTGAACGCCGCAGAATTTCCTATTCGAGCTGGAATAGTGCATCCTTGACAACTTTTGCAAAGTGTAGGCGATCGTTGTCATACAAGACGATAACTTTGCGTCTGCTAGCCGCTATGGCTAGTCTTTTTTGCAACAACATACCGTTCAATTTGTTCAATTTGTGGCGGTACGTAACGGCGGCAACAGTTTCTTCCAATTTTACCAGCTCGTAATATACTTCATCTTGCTGATCGCACCACAAGCGCAGCAAAACCTTATGGCCATGAATATTCCGCTTCGGCGTCTTATGGACTAACCCATAACATTTTGTTCACTGTTCATCCCTTCTTCTTTTGCCTGGTAAGGCAGCGAAAGCTAATCAAAGTGCACTTTCAAGCGTTCCATCGATTGATTATCATCTGTATATACTGAAAAAGTGTTATTTTGTGTGAAGAAGGCAGATGAAAATCATCGAATTTACTTCGCATTACTTTATCATTTTCATCAGTACATGTCACTGGCCAAAATTTATGCAAAAACTCATATTATATAAGAAAATAAAAAGATATTTTGAACTAATATAAATTACGTTTACTTACTTAAAAATTTATATTTAAATTTTATAAATATATATATATTTTCCAACATAAATGCTATTATTTTAATTTTTTTTCATTTTATTATACTTTTTCCCACTTTTTTATCTGTATATGATTTTTCTAATTTCCTTTTATTATTATACATGTAGTTGACTTTTTAACACCTTTTTTCAAGTTATTTATTTATTTTTTCTTTTTTTCTCTTTTTTAACTAACACTTACGTTTTTTTGTTTTTCATAGGCCTTAGTTATATATATATTTTTTATATTTTTATTTATAATCTCTTTGCCGTGTTCTTACTTTGTTGATAAACAACTATTTTCATTTATAATTGTAACAATTTTGGTCAACACTTTGTTCCAATTTATTTTTCTTTTTTTTTTTTTTTTTGTTATAACATTTTTTTTATTATTTATTTTGTCAGTTTTCTAAGTGCAAACATAAAATTTCTACGACTTAAAAAATGTTATGTATACATATAAGATTATATTTAATAAAAAAAAAAACATATATATATATATATATATATATATATATATAAAAACAAGTTAGAAAGGAATCAATATTCGTTTTAGAGCAATTCTTCGACAACTTTGGATATGTCGTCCCGTCGTTCCGTCAGTTAACGATTTCCTTCTTGACAACCAATCTGGCAAATTCATGGCGGATAACACCGGAGCGGCTGCTAATATAGAAAAAAAGAAAGGACTGAATAACTGCTGTCGACTCTTTCCGTCGCTTTTAATTAATTATTTCTTCTATTAGAATCCTTTATGCGAACAATTATTTACAATATTTTTAAGCTCTTTTTTAATCTATTTTTAATCAAGCAAACATATGTAAATTGCTACGAAGTATGGTCTACCGCACAAGCCATACTTAACTGATATTTGAACCCGCGAAAGTCGACTCGACAGGTGCCAACCGACTATGTGATACCTACATATATATATGTATATCATATATATAAATATGTATATATTAAAGATCCCTATATATATATACACGTACACATCTATCTATGTTTATTTATACACACATACATGTGTACACATAGCAATATATATATATATATATATATACAATATATATAGATATACAATATATATTATAGATTATATATATACATATATATACACGGATCCTAGGCAGTCAGATCAACATGGATTAGACATAAATATAAATCGGAAAGTATTTAAAAAAAAAAAACGCGAAAAACAATATTAAGGAAGAACAAGATCGTTGAGAATAACAAAGTGCCCCGGTTTCAGAACCTTAAAGAAGACCGCAGCTTTCAATTCAAAACTTTTAAATCTCAGCTTAGAGATCTAAATAATTTATATATGCTCGCCTATATTGA